TTCATCTGCTTTCGTCTCTGCTGATGTCCAAGTTTTCCTGACACTATTCACACCGTATCTGATACCATCTTTACTCATAGTATTACCTCATTAATGAAGCAAGAATAGATATGTTTTCCCTGATTACAAATGAGGAATATTATTCTGCAAATTTCCTCCCAAGCTGTAGTACCACCCCACTTCTGAGGTGTGGCTTCTAAGGCAGAGAAAGTGGGGGCAGAGCTAAGGAAGCATGGTACACAGGGTAGGCTTAAGGCTGTACACCCCAACCACTCAAAACTCATTACAAAATATCTAGTCTGAGTTTTTTAAGTCATCACCAATTCTTACACAAATTTTCTTTAACTCAAAACACCGTCCACAACACGGCCATCAGTAGAGCTCTTAGTTTTTCCACAACTAGATTTGGATGATTTCAAACCTTCCCTTTCAGGCTGGAGATGCAGAAAGCAAGGCTGCAAAAAACAAGGAAAGTGATGAAGAGGAAGAGGAAGAGGAGGAAAATGAAAATGAAGAAGCAGAAGTAGAAGAAAACGAGCAGGTCGCCAACGGCACCAGCGCTAACTCCACGGAGGCGTATGGTGGGAACAGCAGTAGTGGAGGAGACAATGGAGAAGGTGAGGAACAGAGCGTCACTGAAGCAGGTGTAGAAGGAACCACATTGGACAGGGAGCAGATCAGTGACGGCCCCACGACAGCTGTCCTTCCAAACGGGTTTCAGTATACAACCCCACCACCCGAAGCCTATGGGACCACCTCCCCACCATTCAGAAAACCCACCACCGCTGAGTACTGGGGAGAATACGAACAAACGGGCAACAATGAGGACAACGGTGAGTATCAAATCTACGACAATGAGAACGGGGAGCCTCGTGGGGACACCTACCGGGCCTATGAGGATGAATACAGCTACTACAAGGGGCGTGGCTATGAAGGCTATGATGGTCAAGATTATTACTACCACCAGTGAAGCCCCACACCCCTGGGGAGGGGGAATTACCCATTCTGTCATTGCATCTGGCTACCATTTTTTTTTCAAATTCAACTCAGGAAGGTGCAATATAACAAATGTGCATTTTACAATGTTGAATGGTGCTACAGTCCCAGAGCGATTTCTGCAAATGCTTCTGTTTGGAATGGTTTCTTTTTTATTTTCCCAGATGTGTCACTTGAAAGGTCATTCATTGTAAGTCAGGGCCATTGATCAAGCAGTTCACCAATGATCTGGGGATGGATGGAATGCTTTGATGTGGTAACTTTATAGTGTTTGCCCTGTGTGCACTATTGCTAACTGCCCAAACACACTCTTTGTACAAGACAGCTCAAAGAGAGATT